CACAAAACACAAATCTATTCTCCTTCTAAAAAACGTGAATAGGGGGGTGCCTGGGTGGCGCAGTCGGTTAAGCGTCTGACTTCAGCCAGGTCACGATCTTGCGGTCCGTGAGTTTGAGCCCCGCGTCGGGCTCTGGGCTGATGGCTCAGAGCCTGGAGCCTGTTTCCGATTCTGTGTCTCCCTCTCTTTCTGCCCCTCCCCCATTTATGCGCTGTCTCTCTCTGTCCCAAAAATAAATACACGTTGAAAAAAAAAATTAAAAAAAAAAAACAAACGTGAATAGGGGCACCTGGGTGGCTCAGTCTGTTGGGCATCAGACTTTGGCTCAGGTCATGATCTCACGGTCCAGGAGTTCGAGCCCCACATTGAGCTCTGTGCTAACAGCTCAGAGCCTGGAGCCTGCTTCGGATTCTGTGTCTCCCTCTCTCTCTGCCCCTCCCCTACTTTCTCTCTTTCTCTCTCTCTCTATCTCTAAAAAAAAAATTTTTTAAAAATTAAAATAATGTGAATAATAATACAAAGGCAAAGGGGTCTTTTGGCACCACCTTCTCCCTCACTTCAAAACTCCTCCAGATAAAACCACTATGATCTTTGGGACATATTTTTTCCATATCCATATTCCTATTTATTTATATATATTTACATAAACACATACAGTTTTAGTTTTTGTTTTTAGTTTTTACACAAACAGGATCAAACTCCTGTAATTGTTGTTTTCATTAACAGTAGGTCTTGGGAGCTCTTTCCTTGCTAGTGCACATATGTCTACCTCATTTTTTATAACAATGGCATAATGTTCCACAGTATGGAGGTACCAAAGTTCATTTAATCATGTACATCTGAACAGACATTTAGGTCATAATGGCAAAAAACTGGATGCTGGCAGCATTCCTATACATGCCTCTGCTTGCACATGCATGTGAACATGTCTCTGGACAGAGATCTAGAGGTATGTTGGCAAGGCTGGGTGAAGGATGTAACATTTTAATAGCTCCTGGTTGATCGTCCCTTGAACTGGTGTCACCAACACACATCTCCATCAATGTACCAATTTCTAACCACATTAACCAACACTGAATATTATCCGTCTTTTAAGTTCTTGCTAGTCCGGTAGATGATAAAAAGGCTTAAGTTATTTAAAGCAGAAGCAGAGGAGTAACATCAAAAATCTGATTTTAGGCAATCAGTCTGGATGAAACATAGAACATACCGTGGGAGAGGTCAAGATGAAAGTAGGGAGACCACTGAGGAGGCTACCACATCGGGCCGGTGAGGGTGATGCCAGCTACGACTTAAGGTACTGGTGGCAGAGGACAGAAAGAAGCGGAAAGAAGTGTCTGGGAAACAGAATAAACAGCACTTGGTGACTGTCTAGATAGGGAAGGGGAAGGATGTAGAGTGGCAGGAAGACAGAAGATGTTCAAATACTCCCAGATCTCTGGCATTATGGTTTTTAGGGGCAATGGTGGTGTCATCTGCTGAATGAGGGAAGTGTGCAGGAAAAGCAGCTTCACCACAGATCAAAGTCATGAGTTCCACGTCAGGCATATTAGTTTGGTACCTGTCACATATCCACGTGGACACGTCAAGTGGGCAGCTGGGTATACCTGTATCACACTCAAAATGAAGTCTGGGCTAGAAATAGAAATTCGGAAGTGTTTAGCAAAGCCATGGGAGCAGACGAAGTAGAGTGACAGAATACAGTGTGAAAAGAAGATGGAAGATCCTTGAAAAGGTAAGAGGAGGACTCCAGAGCACAGGAAGATAAGTGTCTTGAACGGGACAAGGACAGACACAGATGCAGTGAAGAGATTCTGCGGCAGGAAGCGCAGTTCTGCTTTCCTTGTGAATCAAGATCATCTGCTGAGAATAGGTGGGTGGAGGGAGAGTCAGCAGCTAGAATGGCACAAAGCAGGCTTGAGATGGTCAACACACAGAATGAGAGAGAAAAGTGCCCAGAGAGCGGAGGCTGGTTGCCATGAATTTGTCGCTGCTCAATCTTGCTGTGGGCGTAAAGAAGGCCAGTAGTTGAATTCACCCATGGTTGGCTCTGTCTGGTGAATAATAGCTAGTAACAACTGGTAGCACTTACAGACCTCAGGGAAATGGGATCCTTTCAGTTATAATTTTATAGTTAAGCCAAGGCTCAGAAACATCAGATGACTTGTCAAAGATCCCCTGGCCAGTATGTGGTAGTTGCTAAGACTGGGATCTGGATCCTTCTTGTACATCAGGGACCTGGATATGTGCCACTCAAAGTATGATCTGTGGCCACATTCTGTGAACTGTTTTAACCAACCCTTGATAAGACAGGACCTTGCTGGTAAGTCAACTAAACACAGCAAAACACACTGTTCAGTTAAACTGGTGTTACGTTTAGAAAATGTATCCCAACAGGGATAATTAGTGAGCAGTTTGAACTTACCCACTTATGTCCTATTAACACTAGCAAACATAAAATGTCAACATAAAGGAGTAAAATACCAACATAATAAACAAATACAATCACAAAATTTGACTTTCAGTTGTTAACAACATACCATGTCTACATGCATGGAATTCTTGTCGGCCTCACTATAAACAGCCACGGACTGTATTCCCATTTTTTTGGCTGTTCGTATCACCCTGCAGGCAATTTCTCCTCTGTTTGCAACGAGGACCTTGGCAATGTTTCGTCCTGCTTAAAACACCATGAAAATCATACACAAATGTTATTGGAGAACAAAGAATGAGAAAGCAAAATAAAGATTCCATTATATTAATCAGCTGATAAACATTTGTTTTGGTAAAATTAGCATAACAGAGTCTCAAATAGTCATTTTAACTAATATTAGTGCATTTCCTTTCACTGAAATTCAAGATACCCTTTCCTAAAAACATGTCTATTTACTTGAGAGAGAGAGAGAGAGAGAGAGGAAGGATTCCAAGCAGGCTCCACACTGTCAGTGCACAGTCTGATGCAGGGCTCAAAGTCACAAACTGTGAGATCATGACCTGAGCCAAACTCAAGACCCGGAAGCTTAACCGACTAAGCCACCCAAGTGCCCCTGAAATCCAAGATACCCTTATTAACATACACTCTTATGTTATTCAGCTTTTTCAACTTTAAAATGAAAAGATATTTTGATATGCCAAAGGTCAAATTACAATAGCCCCCAAACACCCCTCATAGTTAATAATAATTAGTCTTTAGTAAGTACTTTTTATGCCTCAGGTCCTGTGCTAAAGACTCAATCTGGATTTAAATCCTCACAATAATCCTATGGAGTAGATACTATTACTGTTACATAAATTTTAAAGATAAAGGAATTACAATGAAAAGAGATACTCCTTTCCTAAAATTATGCTCATTTTAGGGGCGCCTGGGTGGCGCAGTCGGTTAAGCGTCCGACTTCAGCCAGGTCACAATCTCACGGTCTGTGAGTTCGAGCCCCGCGTCAGGCTCTGGGCTGATGGCTCAGAGCCTGGAGCCTGTTTCCGATTCTGTGTCTCCCTCTCACTCTGCCCCTCCTCCGTTCATGCTCTGTCTCTCTCTGTCCCAAAAATAAATAAACGTTGAAAAAAAAAAATTAAAAAAAAAAAAATAAAATTATGCTCATTTTGTCCTGAAAGTATACTGGCTAAAAGAAATAGCAGGTCCAGGATTTGAACCCAGGTTAGGTTCACCTCAGAATCTGAACTTGTAGTCGCTCAACTCCATCGCTTCTATCCCTCTGCACGCAAACACAGGGACGTATGGCTCTCTTGCGTGAACACTGAGTGCCGCACCAGGGCACTGGTATCCGTGCCACAGGACGTGTTACTGTGTTAATATGTAAAATGCACTTCCGTATCACACATGAAATAAATGCTCCTGGGCAGTTTATAATGGCTATTATTCTAGAACAAATAAGGTTTTCTATAACTTAAAACAATGTTTTTCTATGGGGATCTATGGAGTCTGAGTTGTCACAGGTCACAGGAGCTGCTGGGATGAAGTATGCATGTGTGTGTTGTGGGGAGGAAGCTGCACCCAATCAACCGTGTCTACACTTTCATACGTTTTATCGTTGGGAATTCCGCGTAAAATTTTATTTGAAAAAATGTCTGCCACTTATCAGAATGGTTTTAAAGCACTGATTTAGACCATCAGGGTTATGCTTTCCAATTCACGGCACTGAACGGGATCAAACAGACGGAAGTAACGACATAAATGTAAATGCTTCCAATTATTTCTGTATATATTGTAGACTCAACAACAGGGGAGATTTGACATAAAAGAGGTGGAAACCATGGCTCAATACGTACTAAGAAAATGATCATGAAAATCCCAAATTTCAAAAATATATGAGCACTAATTCTATATACACAAATTAAGGAATTAAGCATTTCCCTCTCTTAGTTCATAATCTGCAAAGCCAAAGCAAATCAAGACTGTACCTGTGGTTGTTGAATACTTCATGGTTCTCTGCCTCCAAGTCCATCTCCTAGCAAATGAATCCAAATGGAATAATAATTAAACAGGATATACAAGATCAGTCATTGTTGTTTCAAAAGAATCAAAAAAAATTTAAATGTTTACTTATTTGAGAGAGAGAGAGTGTGTGTGTGTGTGTGTGTGTGTGTGTGTCAGAGTACATAGGAGGAAGGGCAGTGAGAGAGGGAGACACGGAATCTGAAGCAGGCTCCAGGCTCCAGGCTCTGAGCTGTCAGCACAGAGCCTGACACAGGGCTTGAACTCACCAGCTGTGAGATCATGACCTGAGGTGAAGTCGGAGGCTTCAGGCGCCCCTCAGTCACTATATGATTTATTAATTCAAAACCTGAAACCAAGTCTAGATGTGACCTTAGTTAAGCCTGAAGCCTACAAAGTAACTTAATAAGACTTTCTTTGAGGGAAGAAAATTACTCTAGAAACCGGAAGTTACAGTTTTGGCTGTTCTCTCTGGCACTGTGTGTCCTTGAATGGATCACCTAACCTGCTTGCTCCAGAGGCTGGCAAATGGCCACAGGGTCACAATTAGAAAGCCAAGGTACTTCAAGATCATACAGTTCAGCTTTTTCAAACTCTTTCGACTCAAGTAAAATTGTATCTGACTTCACAAGTTGGTACACACACAAAACAGAATTTTCGTGACAGAACATTTTCTCTGTGTTTTGATACTTTGTGTTCTATTCCACTTCATTAAATAAAATATGCTGGTCACACAACAGTTTGAAAAATACCAATCTTCTTCAACCCCTGATAATTAAGGTTTGAACAATTAAGCCCAGAGAAGTAAAGAGAAGGAGCTGATCAAGGGCAGCAGAAAGACTGCTGGCTGTGGGGCCAGAAGACCCCCCACTGACCAGCTGCTGGTGACACCAGGCAAGTCATTTTACATCAGTGTTTCCCCAGTCTTTTTTCATTATGGCCCCCTAATGCAAAAACATAAATACTAAGATTTTGTAGGAGGGGTCGAGCCTTGGAGGGTATAGTAACTATGGTAACATCTAAGATTTTTTCGCTCTCAAGACCCAGTTTTCACTTTACAACTCAGACTTCAGTGTCCTCACATAGGACGGGAGACACCAAGAGATACTTCTCAGTTTCAAAGTAGACAACTTAAGCTGAATCCTTGTATTAATAAGAAATGGAGAACCAGGGAGGCTAAGTGACTTGTCTGAGGTGTCTTAACTAGGTAGAAGTTTACTAAGGTCTAAAACAATTTTTTAAGTTCCATGATACATATTGATACAGCAAGTAACAAAACTTTAACCCAGAGGTAACAGAAAGCAGGCCAGATTTACTTTAGGAACAAAAAAGTGTAAGTATAATGCCTATCTGGTGTCAGCTAAAAAGAATACACTGGGAAAAAACCAAATTACAGAAGGAATTCCACCGTAGTCTTTTCCACCCATACATGGGAGATTTGTTAAAACTATGGTCATAAAGAACTAATCATTTTAGGTCATGTACACAGTGGGCGATAAAAACCACAATGTACATTAGATACTAAGCAACTATGTATGTGTAGCATGTATACACTATGCATATAGCTATGTAACTGAACAGAACTAGCATTTCACTGGGGCAGGGGTGCAGGGGGCGGGATTATAACAGTAGGTCAGACAGTCATTGCCTTCTGATGCAAACTCAATCAGATGTTGCCATCCGTGAAGGGCTGGTGGGAAGACCCACAGCTTTGGCACTTGAGTCCCGCAGGACAGCTTTCTCAGGAGGCTATTGCTTTCCCACTTCTTTCCAATTTGACTGACCTCATTCTCTTAATCTTCAAGGAGAAAGACTGTTTTTCCTTATCTTTAAAAGGTATCTTCTGGTTCACAGCATCTTCCCATCACATTCTTCAGATAAGTTTTTTATAAGATTCAAGGCTTGTCCTGGACAGATTTATCTATAAAATGGCTGTTTCTTGGTAAATCCAGCTTAAGATCCTGATTAAGTTTCAAGGCCATTGCTGAACTAAAGTTTTCCTCTGTGATTTTGTAGCGAAAACAGACCGACAATCACATACAGACACACTACTTAACATAATCCTCTATCTCAATGATGTTTTGATAGGTCTATTCTATTTTTCACCATTATCCAAGCTATAGCTTAAAACAATGGCTTAAACAAACAAAATTAAGAAGTTGCTTCCATGAGATAATCCCACCCTGATTCAACATAAATTCTATACCAGTATACTCTTATTTCTAAAATTCCACCATTAGACTTCATTTCTCTGAGTTACTGGAGAATCATGACATACAAGACATGAAAATACTCTCTATAATGATAAGATTTGTAATTCCTTAATGCCATTAACAACTGTAACATTTTCCAGGATGACAGCTACCTGAGAACAGTTCTACACACAGTAGGGAAGATTTGAGAGGGAGAGGGAAGAGAGAGAAAATGGTCTGTGTAATATCCTGAAGAGCCCTGGAAACCTAAGAAAAGAAACACCAGGAGAAAGAAAAGAGCATTAACATTACTTTCACCAACTGCCTTATTTTACTCTGGGGCTAGTTCTACAATTAAGTAACTCAAATCTAAATACCTCTCCAGTAATTTGTGGAAAATAAAAGCAAACAAAAACCTTGAAACAAAGGCTGTATTTATGGATTGATTCATATGCACCAGATTGTTTGAGCCTCTTTCCATGTATTCATTCATTTAATTCACACAGTGCTAGGTACTAATATTATCTCCTCTAGGAATAGTATCATCACCTCCTCCTAAGTCAGGAAACTGAAGCACAGAGATATTAAGTAATGTGCCCAAGGTTGGGCACACAGCTAGTGAGTAGCAAAGCTGAGAACCCTGGCTTCGGACAGCACAGTCTGTGCCCTTCAGCACTAAGCTACCCTGTCTTTCCAGAACAGAGGAGGAGGTGAAGAGGAGGAAGAAACAAAGCAAGGTAAAGAAGCCTGCTACCAGGAGACCTGAGGATGTCTTCACTACCAAATTTATTGTCATTGAAACTTACAGCTCAAAATTTGAAACTGATCTGGAGTCAGGTTAGTTAGAGTCATAGCTTTGTTCAAACTTGCCTCTGAGAACTTTTAACAAACCAACCTCTCACCCTCTGGAAGGTAAATTTACTTTTGTTAGCTCGATCCATTCCAATAATGAGAAAGAACTCCACAGAGCCTCTGAACCGGACACCTGACCGGGGCTAGCTGAACCGAAAGGGGCTCGAGGGGCGTCCTGGCTCCATTTCTTACTCCTTGTGTAAACTTGAGCAAGTCGTTGACCCCTCTGAGCTTCACCAGAACGGGGTTCATCAACACTCCCCACACAGGGAATGCAGTGAAAGCACCATGTTAACGGTTAGCAGCGGTACAAGCGTCTCTCTTGCCCCTGTAGCGAGGGAAGCAGGGATGTGGCAGGCCCAGCCCCACCCCTCCCCCACTGCCCGAAAATGGAAAAACAGAGGCAAATAGAGGCTGCAGAGTGGATACGGGGAGCAAGGGGAAGAAAAGGAAGGGCTGGGTGTGAACAGGTCTCTCTCCCGATGCCAAGCAGAGCAGAACACCGTGAAAGGGGCTGGGGTTTTCCTAATGCTCTCCCCTCCTCCCGCTCGATCCTCGGAACCCGCGCACCTCTCTCGTTGTGCTGGAGTCCATTTACACCACCCCTGCCTCCGACCCCGGACGCTGATCCACCGCCCCTCCGCCTCACGTTACCTCGGCGGCAGCAGCAGGCTCGGGACTCGCAGCCACCGGTTCTTCTCTGCCGCCAAGAGCAGCACCGACACCGCAGAGGTTGCCGCCATGGCTCCACAACCCGGTCGCTCTCCGACTTCTGGTTACACCAGCTGCTTCCCACTCCCTGCAAAACCTTTCCTCCGCTCCGCAAGCCTATTGTCCTTCACAGGCCACCGTCCAGGTCCCAGTCAGGCGCTAGGCCTCTAAAGCGAGGTGGGGGCCTCTCCGTCAAAACCAATCAAAGAACAGAGCAGGACTTCGGAGGCGACGATTGGCCAATCGTCCACAAGCCCGCGGAGGTGTGGTCCCTACTTCTCCTTGGCGCAGCGCCTACTGAACCAGGGGTTGGCCCTCATTCACCGAAGGACCTGCGGGGCTGGCTTGCTGTTTCTTCTACTGGCCCGCAGGGTTCCCTCGTTCTCGTCGGGCTTTAAGGAGAACTTTCCTCTTGATCTTTATCATTAAAGGTGCGAGAAAGTGGGGGAAGAGGAGTCCCGGGGGAAAACTCAAATGCAGTGAAGGGCAAGATACATAACTTTCTAGTGTTCTCAAGAAAGGGGAGGAAAAAAAAAAAAACAAAACCAAAAACAAATAAAAAACAACTAAAATAAAAAAGTCACAACTACTTGAACTTTTAAAAAAGTGTTTTAGTTGGCTTAGGAAAAAGAGGAAGTCAAACCGAAATTGCAGAATATCTAGAAAATAAAAATACTGCATACAGATGCTTGTTTGGACATAGTTAAAGCTGGCTCATAAGCAAATTTATAGTGGAAGTAAATTAATTATCCAATTTAAGGGTTAAAAATATGAAAATAAACATAGAAAGGCAGAAGAAAGAAATTGGTAATGATAAAAGAAATTAATAAATTAAGAAACTAGTAATAAAGGCTAATAAATCCAGAGGTTAGAGAAGAAATTAATAACAGCAAAATAGTTTAACCAGAAAGGGGGGGGGGCAATGCACATTTGCTGTGGTAAAAAAAATAAGTGGGAAAAAGTCACATACAGAAAACAAATTATAGATTTGACTAGTTTTGCTCAACTTTAAGCAAATAAATTTGAAAACTTGGATAAAATGGATGATGTTACAAGAAAATACAATGTACCAAAATAGATCCTGAGATGGAAAATCTAATCAAACGATTACCATAGAAGAACGAGAAAATGTTAGCAAAGAACTATCTTTCCACTACCTTCAGTTCCACCTTCACCTTCACCGCCAAAGCACGTGGCCCACCTTCTCTCACAAGGAAGTTCCACCAAAATGGTAAATAGTAGTTGACTCCAGTGATATTAATTCTGTCTTAGAGCACACACACACAAAGAAAGTCTTTCATTCTTTCTATGAAGAGAACATGTCATTGGTACCAAAATTACCAAAGATAGCATGCACACATAATATAGTCCAATTTCACTTATGAATATCAATGTAAAAACTGCCAAATGTTTTATTAATTAAAGTATCTGGTAGCATGTGAAAATAATAATATACCATGACTTAGGTTTATTCCAGAAATATAAGAATGATTCAATATTAATATAATTAATTAATCTTACTAATAGTTTAAAAGAAAAAAAAAAAACCTGTGTTCATAGATGCTTAACAGGTCCTTGCTAAAATGGAACATACAGGGGCGCCTGGGTGGCTCAGTCGGTTAAGCGGCTGACTTCAGCTCACGTCATGATCTCGCGGTCCGTGAGTTCGAGCCCCGCGTCGGGCTCTGTGCTGACAGCTCAGAGCCTGGAGCCTGTTTCAGGTTCTGTGTCTCCCTCTCTGTGACCCTCCCCCGTTCATGCTCTGTCTCTCTCTGTCTCACAAATAAATAAACGTTAAAAAAAAACAAAAACAAAACAGCTAGTTTATAAGAGGTTTTAAAAAAATAAAAAATCAATAAAATGGAACATACATGTTAGATTTTAAGACAATAATTAAAGAAGTGATATTTGGACAAGAGGCTAGTTCTCTGAGAAAAAAAGTTGAACCCCTAATCACTTCTTAACACCTAAAATCAAAATAAGTTCCAAGTGAATAAGAGATTAAGTATAAAAGATGGAAGCATGAAAGAACTAGAAGACATCATGGGAGACTTTAAAAGAGGAAGGTTTTTTCTAAGTGTAACACAATACTCAAAGTATAACAGAAAACGAATTAATAAATTCAACTATATAATTTTTTGAAGATATGCAGAGCAAAACACTTAGGAAAAAACAAACAGTAAATTGGGAATAATTTTATAACTCTTATCACAGATGAAGGGCTACTTTTCTTAATATATAAATAATTCCCACAAATAAATAAGAAAAGAGAACTATAATGTAATAGAAAGCTGTCAAAGAATATGAGCAGACCAATGAAACAAAGTAGAAAGCCCAGAAATAAACCCATGCATGTATATGATCAACTAGTCATTGACAAGAGTGCCAGATACACGTAATGGGGAGAGGATGGTCTCCTTAGTAAATGGTGCTGGGAAAACTGGATGCCCTCATGCAAAAGAATGAAACTGGACCTCTCTCTTATACCACTAGAGGAAAACATAGGGAAAAAGCTCCTTGGCATTGGTCTTGGCAATGATTTTTTTCGATATGACACCGAAAGCAAAGGCAACAAAAACAAAAGTAAACAAGTTGGGACTACATCAAGCTGAAAAGCTTCAGCACAGCAAAGGAGACAGTCAAATGAAAAGGCAACTTAAGAATGGGAAAACATAATTGCAAACCCTGTATCTGATAAGAGGTTTTGTTGGGGAACGTCATCAAAAAAGATATGACTGACGATTAATCCTTGAGCTGGACTCAGGTGCTCAAAGGCTCCTCACTCCCTCCCCTATCCTTAGAATGTGGGTTCTGCTTGCCTTTCCCGCTCCCAGAGGCTGCTCCAAGGACACAGCCTTGAGATGGTGATGTGGTGTTGAAAACGACTGGAGGGTATATGTGACTGAATCCAATTAGGACCTCTTTATAAACTTTTAAGATCTAGCAGGCAGGTGTGGGGATCCAATTGTCTTGCTGCTGCCCAAGACAAGCTTCATATGTAAGTTCTCCTTGCTTATTAAAACTGCCACCTTACCAACCTGGAGTGACCTGCCCCTTCCTTTGGTCTCTCCTTGCCCTCCTTGTATTGGGGCTAAATTTAGATTACACCTGGGAAGCTCCCAGGAGGGTTACAAGCCAACAGGTTAATACCTACAACATACAAAGAATTCATTCAACTCAATAGCAAAAAAAACCCAAATAATCCAACTTAAAAATGATCAAAGGATTGGAATAGCCACTTTTACAAAGAAGACATACAAATAGCCAACACCTATGTCAAAAGGTGCTCAACATTTCTAATCATCAGGGAAATACAAATCAAAACCACAATGAGGGGCACCAGGGTGGCTCAGTGGTTAAGCCTCTAGCTTTTGGTTTTGGCTCAGGTTATGATCTCCCAGTTTGTGAGATCCAGCCCCATGTAGATTTTGTGGACCAGTTTCTATCACAACTATTCAACTCTGCTGTTGTAAAGCAGCCATAGACAACATGTAAACAAAAGGGCCCGGATAGCTATACTCCACAAAACTTTATTTACAAAAACAGATGTCCAAACCATGAGCTATAGTTTATTGACCTCTGTCATATTACCCATTTTACAACTGATTACTGCTAGACCCATCTGACTTTATTGCTTAGTGGATATGACAGAATCCAGCTCAAAATGGGCTATTCTGGATATAGGGTAAGTTGGTGTCCCAAAGTCAAGTGTTCCAGGACCCAGTGACATGCCAAGAGCTGACTCTTAAAGGGCATCTATTTCTCTGCAGCAAATGGCATGGCCTCAGCCTTACTCCAGAACACCCAGGACCTGTGTTATGATTCTCCCGCTGGAGGTTGCCAAAAATTCCATACTGTCCCTTTTTCACCACTGATATCTCCAACACACTGAGGTCTGCCTGATTGTAGAGCTCAAGCAGTAGGGCTGATTGCATTATGGCCTAGAGTTGCTGTACTGCCCTCTCCTGTTCTGGCCCCATTCAAAACTGATAACTTTCTATGTCACCTGGTAAATGAGCAGACGACTTTTCCTAGCTGTGGAATGTTGCCTCTAGAACCTAAGAACCTATGGTTTCTTCTTTGTAGAAAGGATTTCTTTGTAGAAATGCAACATGCAAAACATCTGCATTTTATTTTGAAGTGGCATATGGCATGGCCCTGACCCCCTGGCTCCCTAAAAATTTCAATGAACTAGTCAGTCCCTGAATCTTCATAGGGTTTGTCTCCTGCTTCCTGGAATACATATTTCTTACCAAGACCTCCAACATAATAATCGCTTTGTGCTTGTCTAATTAGCATAATGTCATCAAAATAATGGTTCAGTGTGATGTCCTGTGGGATATCTGTGTGGTCCCGATCTCTTTGGATTATATTATGACGGAGAGTTAACACATCCCTGAGGCAAAGCTATCAGTTAATGTTGTAGAGCAATGGGCCAACTACCAGCCTTTGTGAAAAGGCAAATCTGCCTGAGCAGCAGCTGGTCCGTACACTGTTAGCACCAGAGCCTGAGAGGCTTCTCTCCTGGGGAGGTGCTACACCTGGGATAGAGTTGGTAGCGGGCTGGAAAGGGCCATGCCCTCATTGCCCTTTGTATAGTTTCCTATTAAGCCATTATTATTAGTGTAAATACTGGAATTTATTTACCTGAATTTCCCCCAGAAAGTACCAGTAATTGAACCTTGAAAATGGACCTGGAATAGCCAGCATCCAAGATGGTCACCGTTGATTTCCACCTCTCCTGGTCTTTACTCCCACATTGTACCAGAGATGGTTGGTGTGACCAATAGAATACAGCACAGGTGATGGTATGTAACTTTTGGGAATAGGTAGTCAGTGTCTCTCTCTTGAATCACTCACCTGGGGAAAGTCAGCTGTCATGATGTGAGCATTCCTATAGATATGCCACATGGTGTGAACTTGGAGGCAGATCCTTCAGCCCCAGTTGAACTTTCAGATGACTGTAACTCTGGCCAGCAGTTTAAATGCCACCTGGTAAGAGACCCTGAGCCAGAACCACCCAGGTAAAGCTGCTGTCAGATTTCTGACCCTCAGAAACTGTGAGAAAATAAATGTTTGTTGTTTTAAGCTGCTAAGTTTTGAGTTAACTTGTTACGTAGATATACAGGACTAATACACCTAATACAGGACTTCTTATTTATCTCAATCCACAACAGAGTATATGGTATTTAGAAAGTCCTTATTCAGTGTTGGTTGAATGAGTGAATAAATGGATGGATGAATTCGTGGCAGCATTTAAGTAAACCAGTAATCCAGTCTGTTAGTCTGGTCGAAGAGTTGAGAGATTTAACTTATAACTTTAATATGGTTCACTTCTCAAAAATTCAGATTCTTTCAAGTAGGTCTTCCTACCTGGTAATAAAGTGGTAGTAGAGAATAAAACAAAACGAATTATAGAAAGATGATTTAACTTACTGATTCAAGCAAAACTCTCCACTACCATAGTAAAAAGTTTTTATAGCATGAAAATTGAGTTATCAGAAATGAAAGACATAAATTAACCTCCAAAATAAGTTTTTATTACAAAAACTTCTAATTCAACTCATATTCCATTAAGACTAAACTGAGGACCTTGCCAAGCCTACTGACTCATAAGAGAACAAATCAGGAAAGTCATTATATACTCTGGGGTGACCCAAATTATTCCTTTCCTAAAGAATTCTAGGGGTATGTGGTCTTTTCTGTTAGTATACTTGGTTCGTTTGTTTAGTTGTAAGAGCAAGCAGTGAATACA